TTTTTTTGGCCATAGTTCTAAAGACAAAAGAAAGCTATGTAACTCATTAGAATAAAGTTAATTTTGATTTTATTTACAATATTCCTGTAGAGAAAACAATGCTCTACAAGTTGCTTATGTTTATCAAGATAATAGATTTTATTTTTCATACGGTGTTTGAAGAATACGAGTAGCACCCTGCATGGTCCACGAGAAACTGAGAATCCATCAACTTAACTTTCAAGGATAAAGTAACTTTTAGAAGAGCATTTCTAGTGTATCTTTTAATGCTCTTTCTAATGATGGGCTTAAAACTGGAATTGGATGCAGTTTAGAAGTTGAAAACGTAGTTTTCGAAAATTTTCTGTCGGCCCTGGGAATCACTGGATTTTAGCCCTTTCTCAAACAAAAACTAGGATCAAAAGTAGTGCATTTTGTAGAGCACACGTTTCTCTTTCGAATGGTATACTATGAAGAAAATTCTATTTCCAAAGAGCTTAGAACGAAACGCAGAAAAAATGTTGTCGAATATAAATTTCGAGCACGAAAAAACCATCATTTTTAGACAAGCTGGGTTTTTATGGTAACAAGGAGCTTTCAGAAAATTTTGAGTTCATATTCAGATAGAGCACAACTAGATGCTTATGCGCGCACAGACAGATCAGTTGAAGAAGTAGATTGGAAGATAAAAATGAGAATTGAAAGGTACCAGAGTGTATGTTCTTATATTTTTGACCGGTATTGTATAAATATATACATAATTTCTATTCGTAATGAGATAATGGGTAACAGCTTGTAAAAGAGTGTGAACAGTATACGTAAGCCCGTTTAGATAATACCCAAATAAAATAGTTTATTATAATCAATATAAAACATATGATACAGCAACGCTATGCTAATAATAATTATACGCATGTATTGACCACAGGAAAATACACACGATAAGTTTGTATACGTACACAATAACTCTGAGTGTACGTTCTTCGATACAAACAAACTAAACTACAATAAGAAGTCAAATTGACTAGAGCTCCACTCTACTCAATCGCTGCTTCCTTCCAACTTGAGAAAAAAATCAACTGTCCAGGGCGAAACTGAACGAGAGAGAAAGGAGATAAATTGAACGAAAGAGGGTGTGGGGTGTGGGTGTGAGGTGTGGATGTGGAGTGCGGGTGAGTGTGGTTGTTTGTGTTGTTGTGATTTTTGATATTTTTGAAGTTGACTGCTACATCCATACTCTCCCACCCACTCCCACACTCACACCCACACCCATACCCACACTCACACTCACACCCATACCCACACTCACACCCACACCCACATCCGCACCTACACCCACACACCTCACGACATGGAAGCGCACTTCTTCAGATATCTTCGGTATTTTCTTCACGATCATTTAATGATGTGATAGAAAGTGTTGCAAGTTTTCGGTAGATATTGCGAATTTGTGTCCTCTCAGCTCTCAATAAAGTGTCGGTTTTATGAATTTTTGTATAAGGAATTTACAAAGATTCAAAAGTAGGTGGAAATGACAAGTCAAACGGTACTATTCATAGGAATCGAGTTCATTTGAAAGCAAATAAGACAATTAAAAAGAATATGATAACGACCAAATTTAGGTATAAAACTGATGATCTTAAAAATCTTTATATTAGTTTTTTAGGTGAAACTGAAAATAATGACTGATAGACTTAATAATAAACGACAACGATCAGGTAAGTCACTTTATTTGCAGTACCTTTCATAAACGGAAAGTTACATAGCTCCATACTTTTCAGAATCTGATAAAGACGAATGGCAAGCTGCAAAACTGTTGCACTGCTTGGAAGAAGAAGAAAGTTTGTATGAATTACATACACATCTTATGGGAATGGGCAATGCTTCATTCTGGGTTAATAATATTTTAACCGATCAAAAAAAACTACCAACTCAGGATGATTTTTTCACGAGCGATAATTTACGATGTAAATTAGGGCCATTGGTTTGGGACAGAGCGAAAAAACAATTTTGTAACCGAACCAAAACAATGGAATTCTTTGACAAACTTCGTTGTTGTTCCGATGTAAACCACTTATGTGATCTCAACTGCGATCCTGCTTTAAAGATCTTGGTGACCGATAAATTTTCTCAAGAGCTGAGACAGTTTGATTTGTCGCTTGAGGAATTCTCATACGATGTCGTTTTTTCATTAGAGAATCTTGCTAAAGGGCTCGGACTAAAAGAAAACCAGCCAAGAGATATGAAGCAGGCTATAATTGAAGAAAAGTTAGGTGTGTACAAAACAAGAGATTGGGAAAAGTATACATTTTTTAAACATTGGATCATCTTTGATGCACGAAAACAAAAATTACATATTGTATATGGTATGCAAGCCAATGATTTGCGTATGCTTATTGGTGGGGCAAAGCCTATTGATCAGTTAACGGATCCAACACAACGTGATGCGCGCGCACATATTATGAATGCATTTTCTATGATGAACGCAGATGGCAGCGAGCCACGTTCAATAGATTTCCATTCGTTTCGTGGTAATTTTACACCGGAATTCGATCCTAGAAGATTTGCTCTAAAAGATTCGATATATGCTCAACGACTTGATTTATTAGCATTTCTGTTACGAAACGTTCTATATCGCTTTTCAACATGTTTACCACAGATCAATTATTGTGAATTTTCGGTTGGTTGTGGTGATTTAAGCCGTCCTTGGGTGTTTGCTGTTTTAACTACATTTTCGAATGATAAAAAATTCAACAAGTTTCATTATCTAGTTAATCAAAACTTTCCGTGGCTTAAAACAAATGGTTTTGAAAAAAGTATTGACTATCGGTTTCTGGCAGGATTCAATCGTCGAGTATCACCGATCAGTAGTGCTTGTTCAACAGATAAATCACTTGACTTCTTAAATGAAGCACCATCTTATGCGATTCATCTTATACTGAGAGAATTTTATCAAAGTAAAAACCAGCGAGAGACAATTATATTCACTGAACAGGTAAAACAATTGAAGAAATTGGAGAAAGCCAGCAAAAATACTGACGATTTCTATCACTGGGTAGTAGGACTTGACTTACTTGGAGATGAACTTGGATATCCGTATTGTCCTTTTGTTGCTTGTGAGTTCCTACGATTTATTCGAGATGCTAGACAAGCAAATAGTGCTTTTGGCACACGTATTCATTCTGGAGAAAATGTCCCATTCGCTCGTCCTGAATTACCTGGTTATCATCTATTTGCGGCGCATATGTATATTCTCTATCGTTGTCTGGCTTTTCTCAAGAAAGAGTTAGGATCTAATATTCGTGTTGGCCATGGTATCGCATTTGATAAATTATTATCTATCAAAAATTATAAGTTTCGTAAATCTAGTGTACTAGTCGCAGAAATACAGGCAAATGCTAAGAAAGTATTCTCATCAATTCCTTTTGAAGTAAATATAACTAGTAATTTCTATCTTCTCGGGGATGCTATTAGAAATGCAGAAAATACAAAGCCTCTGTCCTCTTTGTATAACATTCAAATTCCAGTCATTCTATCGACTGATAATGATGGAATATTGCCCATTGACAGATGTTCACTAGAGCATCAGGCGCATCATTCATTAGCAGCAGAGTATTGTCGCGCTATTACTACACGCTTTATCACCGAAGAAAAGCGCTTGAAAAGAATGATTAACGATGCAAAGCGTTTCTGCTTCGTAAAGGAAAGAGCTTTATCGAAAGAGAGGCCTTCGAAAATGGCAATAAATTCAGACGACGAGAAAAACAGTTATGTTCCTACAGATATCGTGGTGCATCCAAATGTTTTACGTAAACTTTTCAAGAAGGAGAGCTTCTCCAATATAGATTCATGTTTTTGCTTGAAATATTACAAAAGTATATACAGTTCAAAAATAAATTCTAAATTGGGGCGTGATGGCACTTTTTGGGAGTATTTGTGCGAGCGTGTTGGACCTATAGTCGTAGCTTGTTATTACTTAACGCATTCGTTAACTTTCGAGCAATATGAAGACGAATACAAAGTATTGTTTGGACCCTCCCGATGTAAAAGACTGTATAAAGCATGTGAGCTTGTATATTATCATCTAATGCACGATATACCTGATCAAGACGCATGCATCCAAGTAGAGGTTCATGGAGAAGACTATTTATTCTGCTCTGAAAGGTCTGCTGATCATAAAAATGCGTTTTATTTGTTACTGAGTACCATAAAAAAATTTATCATCGGAAGTACCAAGACAGGCACAATATTCAGTTTTCTTCCAACCATTGATTTTAGTGATCCAAAAATAAGAAAGTGTCTTGAAGATCTAGATAAAAGTCTCATGAATAAAGAAATTAAAGTTTTTATTCATACCAACACAGAAAAGCATTCGACATTTCCAGACCTTAAAAGTAGAAAACTATTTATTAATTATAAACCTGGGCAGCGTACAGATCCAAAACAAGAAAAAATTGAATGTGCACTATATGCTATTTGTCCACATGGTAGTGCAGCTACTAGCGCCTTACACTTTATTGCAAAATACATTCATGAAAAGTCTTTTTTTATGATACCACCACATAAAAATCTTTCTTCTCTCGTTATTCCTTTTTTACCATTGCGTTTTGGCTATCCATCTACTCGAAAGCAGATGAAACAAAATCTACATCTAGAACGTTTTCTAGAATATTATAGCCTGGAGAAGTCAAATTTGGTACAGAAAATTCAACTTGAACAGAGTTCAATATGTAGAACTCTATATGATCCAGAATATAATTTACTTTGTTCCAGTGTTAAATATTCTAAACAGATAGAGACAAAAAATTTAATAGAGATAATATGTGCTCCTGAAGATAAATTTCTTGATATTCTGGAATCATTGACTCGATCAATCAAAGAATTTAATTTGTGGCCTAGATCTTTTGTAATTCTAAATCGTCTAAGCGAATATGATTCATACGATAGAAGATTTAGTCGAGACGATACAATTGCAGTTCGTATTATTCCACTTAAAGGGAAGTTTCTCATTTGCAACAGTGCAAAGTTTTTCGAAAAACAGTTTAAATCACAAGCGTATGTTCTTTGGTCTTTAGTCGTAGGTTGGAATTCGTCATTAAGCGCTGAAAATAATCCATATGAGTATCCCTACAGTAAATGGATTAAATCAATTGTAAAGATTAATAGACACATCCTTAACGAGAGGTTTGGTCTGAACACTTGGGAAAAGTTTTTTACAATTGTTCTGTTAAATGCACGAAAACGAATTTGGTACTGGTTTACAGTTACTCGTTGGTGCGATGTAATTGAGGATGCGTTTAGCACAACAGACAACGTACAGGCCTTTGTAAAATTCCTAAAGAAAAGCAAAAATGACAAAGAAGCGATCACAAAGTTATTAAACGATTCCGGACGGCATAAAATCGGAAATTGGCGACAAAAAGAAATTAGAGAAAGACATGCAGCCAATGAGTACCTACGTCAAATTCTTGCCTCACTTAAGACAGGATAGCAGTCTACCTTTTTGAGAGCCGATAACGAACAGGTAGATCGATCAGTCTAAAATTTAGCTCGGTACTTATTCCACCTCTGATTTACTTCTTTGAAGCATCTTGACACTGGCTCATCATCAGTGACTCGAGCAGTAAAACTGATGCATTTTTCAGCCTGTAAGTAAATAAAGAGTGATGGCAGTTTAGTTTAATATTTCCCTATGAACCTTTGCAGAAATGAATATATTTGTGGTTTGATGTAGAAAGCCTAGTTTTTATTTATTCGACACCTGTAACTCTCCTTTTTTCTCATGAAATCCAATTATATTCATCGATACTTAACGTATGATTATCCTATCATTGTTTACGTTCGTCTTTAACTACTTAAATATTAATGCGACTTACTTTTATGTTCTTGCATGCTTTTACTGTAAAACCTAAAACAGAAGTTGTTAACGTCAACAAGCAATGTTTCTGAACCTGATTGTTTTGTTCGTTGATTTTGTCTTTTCGTTCATTTTGGTGTCTTTTTTTCCTGTTCGCCCTGCTTCTCATTACTTTACTATCGTAGATCATAATAGTGTTAATGGTATTAATAAACGCATTGCTAATATTAGTATCGAACCTTCTACGAGTTCTGTTAAGTCGATTGATCATACATATCATTCGGGTGTGGGTGCGTGTGCGTGTGGGTGTGGATGTGGATGTCGGTATGGATGTGGGTGTGGGTATGAGCGTGGGTGGGGTGTGGGTGTGGGTATCGGTGTGGGTGTGAGTATGGGTGTGGGTATGCGTGTGGCTGTGGGTGTGGGTATGGGAATGGGTGGGTGTGGAGGTACTGGTGTGAGTATAGACTACGAGAAAAATGGACTCACACCCATCTTTTGATTATCTAGCTTGGAGCAGCATTCGAATAATCAGCAAAAGAACGATTATATGATTTTCCCACTAACCTATGACAAATCAAGTTGTTTGATAAATTTTTTCCTTCTGCAGAATGATATGTAAAACTATTTTTTTTTATCCATTTATTGCGTTACGAAATTTAGTCCA